TCACACAACCCGCCCTCCACCCCGCTGGCTATCATCAGCTCGCTGCTCTGCATGGGCCTAGGCAGGGCACGGTCACCTCTGTATCCTTCACAGGTTCCTTGGATCCCTTGCACACCTGGGACAGCGTGGGAGCCCCCCCTTATGGTGCTGAGCTTTGGAAGTTTTCTCTGATTGAGGCCTCATGCTCCGTGGGAAGCCCGTATGTGCGAATGCACAGATGACCACTCAAAGAACAAGTTACAGGTAAGCAACCTACCTTTCTGCCTCCCCACTGAAAACATGAAGATCAAATAAACTGAGTGAGAACACATGTGCTCTAAAGTCCTTCGCATATGAGGGCTTGATGCAGTGTAGTCTAAAATTCTTGAGATACGGTCCCTGAAAAAGGTCCCACTGACCCCCAGTAAGTCTGATAAACACAGAGAGAGAGAGAGCAGTCAGTCACGTACTGAGGTCTGAGCAAACATTTCCCCAGTGAGGCTGTATAAACATCCCCCACATTACATCTCTGTTACTTGGAGGATCGGTCCTGTCTGACAACTGTGAACCAAGCATTAGCATGTTGAATAGGATGCCTGGAAATGCAGGCGTGCTCAGAAAGACTTCCTAGAATTTTTCTCAAAATCATTCACAACATATGCACACCCACACTTACTTTGTGGGGTCAAGAATGACAAGCTACAGGCACATCCATGGAGGCTTTCAAATCTCTTCTGAAAACTAAGAAGAAGAATACTAGAGGCCTGCAAAACTCAATAGCAGAACATGTGGCTTTGCATACAAAGTCTCTCTTGCATCAAGCATCTCATGTAGATTTCCAGCCTGAGGACACAGAAAGCCAATCTTAGCGTACATAGTACTCAATGGACCATTGTTCTTGCTCAGTATAATGTGGGATTTCAGTAGTTCAGAAAGAACAGATGGACCTAAGGAATTATTCTTGGGCCAGTGGTGCACAGGTGAATGTGCAGGCACATGTCTATGTGGAGAAATGGAAGGAAAGTGGTGGAGGCTAGTTGCAGACTGGAGCTTATTTTCATGTAGTAGGGAAGGAAGAGTTAAGAGTGCCTCTGTGGATGCACAGGCAAGTTCGCACAAGACAACACGGGATGGTGAGCAACTTGTCTCTCGCACTGCCTGTCCCCTATCAACCAAAGACCTAGCTCTCACTAAGGTGGTAAACTGAGGTATAGAGACTAAGTTGTGCAAAAGGGAGCCCATAACTTAATGCTGCTTTAGAAAAAAAAATAATTATTATCTGCACCTAAGGAAGCTAGATATCAAGGGGGGAAGATTTAGCTCAGCTTCAATGACTTCTAGTTTCTTATGTTGGGAAGATGCTTTTCAACATTCCAGTATTTGGTTTCTTCCTACCACAACCTGTTGTGTTGAGTGATATAGACCAGGTAAGGTTCCCCACTTCAGTGAGGGTCCATATACTGTGCACAATAGGCAGCTGTACATAATTTGTCCCTAAGGAAGTTACAGTCTTGAGCAGAAAACTGTCATGAAACCATCCAGTAATTTTTCTGCTCAAAATCCTAGTCCAAGTTACTTTTCTCCCCACCACCTGGAAGAGAAAGCAGTTTTGGGCAGCAAGCCAGCCAGAAATAAAATATCCACCATTCTCCTGCTCAAGAATGCAGCTTCCCAAAGCGCACAGGGGTGGGGGCACACCTGTGAAGTTGCACGCAACTGCACAACGCAGAGACTTTGTCTTGAGAAATATGCAAAGACCAACCCCTAGTGTATGCCACACTAATGTGTCAAATTACTCACTACCATTTGTTTCCATAACTATTTCAGGTGCAATTCATGGTGCTGGTTTAAATGTCAAAACTCTGAAGGACTTGGCTACCTGTCTCACTCCACACCTCTCAGAGTATCGAGACCTGTGAGAGGAGCCGCTCTGTGTGCGCCATGACCCACAGAGGCCTGTATGCGGCACACATATGAAGGGGGTTTTTCTGTGGTGCCCCCGAATCCTCTGGTGTACCCCCTGAAGAAACACAACTGCCCCCCATTCTCTCAGCCTTTAAAAGGAGGTAAAACGAATCATCTTGTCAATTTCTCCTTCCAGAATGTGTGATTTTAAGGTTTATAAAATAAATATTGCAGTACGGTTCCTTCCCAGGATGAGACAAGGTCAAGAGTTGGCTGAAAGTCAGAAAGCCGATAAATTTCATTATCCATGGCACAAGCTTAACCCAGCCTGCATTTCTGCCTGCTAGTCTGAGTCTTGAGCAGGGACTCACCTGAGTTTCCTAATCTTCAGTCCGTAGGCATCAGAACTGTGCTTGGAAGAAAACTAACTCCTTTCAGGCCCATCACCCCTCCGTTTCTAAAGGAAAAGGCATCCCGATGCAAGCCTATCGAGAAGAAACCGTGCAGGCGCTTGAAACTTCCGATGCCAGGCTAGCACTCTGCACATGCTCAGCGGCGCTCCCTTCTCGAACCCTGAGCAGTCAACATGGGCCGCGGCCTCGCAATGAAAGCTCCCCGGCCCTGTCGGGGGGCCACACACGTGCAGCTTGCCACCGCCGGGGCGAGGTCCGCGGCCGGGCGGGCGCTCTTGCCTGGCAGCTCCGCTCCGCCTGCAGGCGGCGAGCCTCCGGAGGAGAAAGCGCCCGCTTCCCCTCCCGCACCAAGCGGCACTCCCGGCACGGAGGCGGCCTTGGGTGGGGCTTCGCCGGATCGCTCGCCGGGCAAAACCGGCCTGACGAGGAAGGGGGCGCTCGGCAGCGAGGCCGCCGGGCTCCCCCCCACCCCCGGAAACATGTCGAGGCCGCGCGCCCGTGGCCCTCCGGCGGCTCGCCTCGGTTTCCACACGGAAAAGTGGGCCGGCGTGGGGGGAGAAAGGGGCAGCAGCCCGACAATCCCATCACCTTGTGCGCGGAGGAAGCGCCAGGGCCGCCCCCTCGGGGCCCCTGCAGGCACGCCTGGGGGTGATTTTCACGTGCAGGTGACCCGCGTCGCAGGAGATTCAGCAACAATGCAGGAGAGTGAGCCTTTGAGTAGCGCTCCGGTATTTTCCTGATTCTGCACGTAAGGAACCGTTGCCGCGGGAGCGGCTTCGAGTCCCCTTCCGCGTGAAATGGTGGGAAAGACATCGCAGCAGTAGGTTTAAAAAATAAAAAAGACCCAGACGCCTGCAATGTACCCTTCCACACGACTTTGCCTCCCTTTGGACCAAATAGTCCGCCTCGCAGCTATACGCAAAAGCAATTTCTGCCATGCTCAGGAACGAGATCCAGCCTTCCCAGGGAAGCCCAAGCTGGTCTGTCAGGATTTCCCAGGGAAGCATACGCCCCTTTCCCAAATTGCTAAACATCTGGTGGTTACCAAGCTTTTGCGCAGTTCAAAACGCTGAAATTCTCCTAATATTAAGGTACTGGGAGTAACAGCTTTAAGCTAAAATAGAGTGATGGGGGGGGAGGGGGAGGGCACCCTTTTTGCCAGAACCCACCACTGAAACTTGCCCCCAATAATTTCTCCAAATGAAATTTGCCCCTCTGGTGTAGTTGGTCAATATCCCTGATACACCTACTGGGATGAGCTGTATACAAAGGTGAAACTATATATTTTATTATCATCCTCTACCCCACAACAACCTTGTAAGATTGGTTGGACTGAGTCAGTTGGCTGGTGACTGAGATTTGAGTTACAGTTACAGCATCTGATGGGGAGGAGGGCAGGGCTGAGCATGCATTTGTATTGATGCTATTGATAAACAACAAGAACTGACCTTCTGCCTACCTCTTGTTATTAAGGATCTTGACAAACCAGTTCAAGAGCCCCAAAGATTCCTGTAGAGGTCCTGAAGGGGCAGGTCTCAGTGGCCATTAGGGGGAGGAGACATGATTCAAATCTTCATTTAATTATAGAGTCAGTCCAGGGAGAGCCCTTATCTCTCAGCTTAATGGCTTCACAGGATTTTGTATCCTTCTGTACTTCAGTTAGCTGAACTTGTATTTTAACTTTTACTGAGAGTATATGAATTTCAATAAAGGTTGAACAAGAGCAGCATGAATCGACACCTGACTCAGCTATTTAATGACATCTTAGCAGACAAACTTTTATTAACAGGTTGTTGTTAGTCACGAAGTCGTGTCCGACCCATCGCAACCCCATGGACAACACTCCTCCAGGCCTTCCTGTTCTCCACTGTCCCCTGGAGTCCACCTAAGCTCACACCGACTGCTTCGTGACTCCATCTAGCCACCTCATTCTCTGCCATCCTCTTCTTCTTTTGCCGTCAAATTAACAGATTTGATTATATATTAGTGCTACCCTTTGAATACTCTGACCAAAGCACAGACATTGTTATGCCCCCCATCAATCTCTCACCCTAAAATAAATTTCAGCAAGGGGAATTCCACTGTTATAAATGGCGGCTTAGCAGCATCTAAGGAATAAGTAAACAGAGGAATCACCCTCTTCGTACCCATAGTTTCCTCCTACAAACAGCCTTTCAAGCCTTGTGTTAATATTACATTGGAAGCACCACATTATAATAGATTCCCTCATAAAAGCAAGTTTTGCCTGGTACCTTGGAGAGCTGCTGTCAGACAATTCAGAACAAAGCTAGAGGGAACAATGCTCTCAATACGAGGCAGCTTCTGTCCTGATTTTCTCTACAGTGATCTTGGAAATTAACTGGTTTTCCTTTTCAAAATCAAACCCATTATCAGAGTTGTTCATATTGTCTGTCATTTTCCAGAATGCATCATTGCAGCTCTTTTGAGTAACTTAATACCATGCCCTCTGTTACTTAGCCTGCTTGTGATACAAGTATTCCACTGAAAAAGTCTTCAGTCTTCTAAATACCATCAGCTTTGTGATGGTAGGTAGTGGATTCTTTGAATCATTAAAACACACTCGATTTTTAGCTTGGAGTGAAGATTATGGACAAATACATAGAATGATAGAGTGCAGGGAGGGCAGCTAGAGGAAGCAAGCTCTGGCTCATGAACTTCCCCATGCCAGCTCCTAACAGCAAATTTGATGTCTCTGAAGTACCACTAAGTTCTGTGTAATGTAATGTTAGGATTAGAGCCTTAATTTGTTTCTTGCATTTATGGAGCCTGCTAATTTGCCCCTGTCCAACACAAATTTAATTGTCTTTAAAGCTATCCGTCATGGCTTTGCATCACACAGTTTTCCAGCGCTAGTTCCCAGAGTATAACAACTATGTCTATAACCTTTACCCACAGTCAGAATTCTGCTTCCTTTGATTACTCATTCCCCCTTACTATCCCCTAGATGTTGCACTGGCTTCTTGAATATTTCCATGTTGTTACCTTTTCCCTCCTTTTGGATTGTACTTCAAAGCTTTTCCCACATGGACATGTCATTTACATGTAACAGACTGCCTTCTTGCTTCTGACTGCTCTTTCCTTCCCTCTGTCTATTTTAAGTTGTAAACACCTTCAGAGCAGGGAGGGACTTTCTCCATCTTGCCTATGTAATTAAATCAGGTGCCCAGTACACTGATGCCACAGTATTACTGCATGCATATTTTTTTCCCTAATGGGACTCTCTTCAACAACTGTAGCAGGTTAAAATGTAGCTGAATAAGAGTTCCCACTGATGCAGGAACTCTTCCCAGGAGCCCATCCCCAAAACAAGTTGTCAACTCTAAAGCCTTACCTTTCCATGGTTGCTTAACAGCTAAAAGTGCAGTAAGGAGGTAGAACAGGAAAAAATGATTGCTAATAGATGTGGCTTAGCTCAATACAGCCCTCACCCTATTTATTGTAAGCCTGAGTGGAATCAGGAGAGACTGTGCCCAGATGCACTGAAGGTGTGGAATCAACTTTGTGGAAATACCCCAGCCAGGTAAAGTTTGGGCAACAATCACATCTTCCCAATCCTGCATTTCACAGAATAATTTCTGACTGGTGTTTAATACAGCAAAAGACATTCTTCCTAGTATGTTTTCAAAGGAAACGAACAGGCATTAAATTTTGTGTCTAAAATGAACAGTAGTCTAGAATTTACATAAACAGCAAGTGATCCATGATCCAGCAGCCACAGGTGTGCCGGTCTGTACAAGCAAATGTTTAATTGAGCCAGTGTACTAGATAAGGATTCTATTAAAGCTGGTGACTGGTGACAAGAAGCCCAGGAGAGTCTGCTGTGTTTGCACAATCGAAAGAACATTTACCATTGTTTTGGACATATTGGAAATACATGCGGCATTTAGGTTGGTAGCCCACAAAGAGGCTATAAGACAGTTTCTTAGCGTAAAAAAAAAAAAGGGTTGAATGGATTAAGGCAAACGCTACAAACGGAAGACATTTTTGTAACTAACAACAGTAATAATGATCCTGATTATGAAGTCCTGAAGGCAACCTTTCACTATGCAAAAGAAAGCAAGGTTAAGTAGCTATGTGATGAGAAGAAATTCAGTCAGTGAAGCTTTTCTGATCAATCCACCCTCATGTCCAGATGGGGGGAAAAAACTTCACTTCTGCTTGTCATACACCTGTGATATAATAGAGTACCAGCTAGGACTGGGAAAACCTATTTCAGCCACAGTCTCTCAGCCTAACATATTTTACAGCATCATTGTGAAAATAAAATATATACCACTTCTAGTTCCTTGGAAGAAAGATGGCATATAGATTCAATAAATGTACATACCTCTTAAAACACTCAGAAGCCCTGCAAGGGAGAAAGTTAGCAATCATTTCTATACACACCAGTTGTAAAGCAGTCCCACAATACTTTGCAAAAACAACAATAAAAAATTCAGGATGACAGCAATATCGTCATATCTATTCTGTCAAATATCAGTAGTTATCTAAGCAATAAAAATAATATATTTGAACTCAGTAGATGCACTGGTGTGAACAGGCATAATTTATCATCAATCAGCCTGACATGTAGACAGAGGAAAAGTATTATTTTAACATTCCTACTGGAGTAAAGCCACTGTACTTTGATAGGACAGGTACAAACAGACCCTGGATTTCACCTCCCTTGCCTCCTTTTCTGGCTAAAGTATTTCCAATAGAGTTTACCCAAAGCTGCTTCCATCTCGGCTATTCTATAATGAAAAGAGGACTATTGTGTTTCTAATATATAAATAGCCCTTGCTTCTGTACCCTTTTGAAATTACAGCATGCAAGAATTCCACATCAGTCTTGTTTCCCAAGACACCTTAAAAGAGGAATATAACCTTGAAAAAAAGAGAGAAAAATAAAATAAGGTGATAATCGCTAGGTAGACACATGTTGAACAAATTCACTGAACTTTACTTCTGGGATCATAAACTGATCTAGGAGAAAGCAAATTGCAAC